TCTCTGTCAATTTTGAGTTTTCAATGATTTTACAGCCAGCACATTGCTCTTTGCTGATAATCTTGTTGAGCTTTATACCAGGTTTTGTAACTTTTGTCCCTGCCCTAGGTTCTGTCTTTCAAATGTCTTTAGACTCTGCCCTTCGTGGATCACACTAGCATCTTCATGCGGGTCTAGAAAGTAACTGTTGAGAGTAATATGGTCAACACAGGTGCAGTAAAAACTCTTATTATTGTCTAATTTTATAATGTTGTAACATATTACATTGTTAAATTTATCTTCTCCCTAAGACATAGTGTGAAAGTAACATTACTAAATCAGATGACACAAGAGGAGAGAAGAAAATTCTAAGACACACTGTCCCCCCCTCATAATACCCAACAAGAGGTTAAATGCTGATGTTGATCTAAGAAAAACTATTACCAATTCCTATAAACCTATAAATCCCTATAAACCTGGTTTACAACATCACAAAGGAGCCAGCAGGTTCAATGCTGGTCTGCAGCCCAGCCCCTACCCAGCACCCACTGCCAAACCACTCTGGGGCCCCAAGTAAATTCTTACCTCATCTCACACTGCCTATCTCCATTAATCATTTATGAGACCAGACTGGTATATGAACAAGTGTTTCTGGGCTGCTAGGGTTAAGTAACAGTGCAATGTACTGGAGTTACCTGATGTAATCACCGCATGGTTCCTACCGTCACTGCTTTACGTAATGCATCACCAGAAACCTCCTTCCTGTTAGCTTAATTGACTTGCTGGAGAAGAAACAGGCAAACATGAGCTGATAACCTGTACCACATCTCACACTGGAGGTGGTGTACATTTTATTTATTTATTTTTTCGGCCATCACATTTGTGGTTTTTCCTCTGCCTGGAGCATTATGTCCCAATGATGCATGAGTGAGGGTGCATCAGGCTGAGGACAAGTGACATTCACACACACCTCACTCTGTACTTCAGATGGGAATTTTTCTTATTAGTGGTTTTGAAACACTTGGTGGATTACAACAATAAAAGGGAAGTAGGCTAGTGGGAACCCCTTAGGAACCCAGAAACATTTCCATTGCTGCTCTAGCCACTTCTGGGAAAGAATTCCCATGAATTACCTTGGTACTTAAATAGGTGAAAACTGCCTGATGTTGTCTCCTGAACAACGCAGCTGAATGACATTGCCCTGATGGGCTGGAAAATCTGAGGAACATTCTGACATTAAGAATGCTTGCTGGGGGTGATAGCTTTGGTAAAATTTGTTTGATGATAGTTCAGGTTGCTAGCTGCTGTTCCCTGACATTACAGGTTTAACTAATATGTTGCATACAGCATGCAATTTGTTTACAGAGGGGCTTTAGAAAACAGTGACTTCTGATGCAATCTAGGGCTGACTTCAGAAGCAAAGCCCAAGAAATTATGCTGTTTCAGGATCACCAGCTGTTTGTGTTCTTGGACAAGCTGAGATACTTTATGGGCTGTCATTTCTGTAGTTATAATGAATTCACAGGAGCAAGTTTAAAATATATCATTTTATTATTCAAAGGAATAACAGTTTAATTGAATTTTATCCTCTTGCTTTTCTCATGTGGATCCTCTGTTCCCGTATATTCCAGCAGCTCAACTCTTGCTGTGGTATATTAATCATTTAAGAATATTAATAAACAGATGAAGAGCTGTGCTTTCTTGATATTCATCAACTCAAGCATCTTTTTTCTTGTCTTGAGAAATAGTTAACATAAAATAACAAGGTGGATGCTGGACCCAGTTAGAAAAAGACATTGTGAAATACTTCATTTCAAATGTCATTTTAGCAGGTGGGAGTAGCGTAACTTGTACTGGCCAAAAAAAAACAAACAACAAAACTGCAAAAGATCATTAAAGATAAAAAAAAAAAGCACACTCCTCCTTCAAATGTTATGAAAATGTCACATCACATAGAAACACTTTCAAAGTGGGAGATATGTTCTGTCCTGATGCGCCAGTTTCATAATATTGTGACATTTACATTCTAATGATAACTAAACTTTGATCTTTGGGAAATTATAGAGCAAAGAGCCTGATTTGCTGTGATTTTGCCACCTCCCTGAGGGGACTAGATGCAGCCTGTAAACCTCACAGGGGTTATGCAAACAGAAAAGAAGACAGTAAAATATTGGGAAAGATGGCTGTTTGGATTATGTGCGCACAGAGAAGTTACGGGGATTAACCAGGTTGAACATTGTGGTTTGAGTAAGGATAGCTATACAAAACCAGTGCAAACACTCCTCCACTTAGGAGGAGAAGGAGCTGAAGATGTAAAACCGAATCTCTCTCTCTGTTACTGACAGTGGTTCTTGAGAAGTTTGGAGGCTACACCCTCCTTTGTAGTAAATGACATAATTCTGGCTGCAGCTTTACACATTACCACCAATGCTGTTCTCTGAGCAAGGTAGAGGCTACGGTGTCTACATACTTTTGCTGGGTGTGCTCTCATGTGTCCTGATATAAAAACCTACTTTAACAAGTAATCTCTGGCTTGACAAAAGACACAGAAAGTATTTGCCTTGCTGGTGCAGTACTGGCATTTGGATGGTGCTGCAAAGCAAATTCTCATTGTACAGTGGAGCCATTGTTCATTTTCTCTCTCCACAGAGCCTAGAAGAAAACACTTTTCCTTCACAAATTTTTGCTTTCAAAAGCCCATCACTTTTAAGGAATTAGTATACTTGCTTTGAGGCACTGGGAAACTGGCTGCAATTAGTCCAAATGCAATAGGAACGAGAAATTGTACCCAGGTTGGTACTCTTGGGTTCTGGTTCCTGGCAGGCAAACCCTGGGGCTCAGTGCTATGCCAGTAAGCAGGTTCCATGCAATGGGGGGGACAGTCAGAGAAGAGAACAGCTGGAGCACAATAGCATGCACCCAAAGACATTATTTTGCCATGCTAATCATATACTACAGTAAACATCCCAGCCAGTGATGTGCTTCTCCAATCTGAAGAAGACTTCAAGTGCATCAGGGTCTCCCAGAGACAAGCACTTTCTGGCCCAAAGGAAATTTTACCAACAGCCCTTCAAAGTGCCATGTGGGACAGAAACAACTAACTCCCAAGTAATAAAATCTGAGCAACATTTACTAAATACAACTATTCTCTCCTGGCTGGAAGTTTTGCTGTAAGAAAGAGTCTTCCTAGTGCCAGAGTGCTTGAGATAGATTCTACAGTGGTTTTTCAGGCCCAGATTATCAAGTGATATATATGGTGTGTTTCAGTAATTCAATGATACTGTTCATATGCATCTTTCTGCTGGCACTGATGTGTAGAAAAATATCTGCAGTGAAGGCAATATGGTTTTAAATGGTAGAATTCTTGCTTCAACTATTCATACGATAATACTACGCTTGCAATAATATAATATTACATTGCATAAAGGAATGCTGTTCTCACATCTGAAACTGAAAAATGCCTTTCATGATTGGTCTGGAGTTTTTGACTAAACGTTAGGAGACAGTGTTCTCATATGCAGGGAAATTTCTGTAAAAGGAAATATAAACTCTGCAAACTGTTCTTTGTTTGTGTTGTTAATAATACTCAGTTAATTAATGTTTTGTATTTAATTACAATAGATTGCAACTCATTATTTCAAATAGATTTAAAACCTAATAGGCATCAGACTGCAGAGCAAATACACTTCTTTTGTGCACAAAACTGGTTCCAGCTTCTCAACCTTTTGTAATGGAAGTACAGGAAAAAGAAAGAAAGTATGTACAGAAAGGGAGATACACTGGAACATTTTGTCTATTCATTTGCACCGGATAGTCAACATGACAAGAAAAATTAAATTGGGATTTAGAGACACTTTTTTTACCTTGTAGAATGAAGAGCTTTCAGGATTTTACTTTAATTACCTTCTTGTTCCATTCTTCCTTTGTTGTCTAAAATCATCAATGAGACTTTTGTCTTCTACTTTATATTGCTATAAATCTCTTGAGCAAAATTGCTGCCTTCAAGTAAGAGCAGAATAGTACTGGAAACAAAAGTACAGAAATGTTGAGGCAACAGATTCCATCAGGAAAAGAGAGGGAGAGGGAGAGAAAGGAAGTACATCTGACTGAAGCAACATTTCTAAATATTTCCATTTCTTTCTCCTACAGAAACTTCCTGACCTCCTCCAGGGAAGTTTCTCAGATCTGCTGCAAAGAGAGCAGGGTAGAAGATGCCATGAGACATTGCAGGGCCCTGTCCTGCTCCCCTTGCCAAGATCTGCTGCAAGATGATGCCACTTCGGTTCTGTCCTCTTCCAGTTCCCTTGCCCTCTTCTCACTCCTAACCTGTCCCTAACAAAACTTTTGAGCTCTCCTGGGAAAGAAGCACACCAGGAAACCTATTGTCTGAGTACAGGGACTGGGTACGTTCAGGTCACTGGAGCTCACAAAGGGGGGCAGCTGAAATGCAGCAGCATTAACACTTCGTCTCTTCCAGTGTTTCCAAAGAAGCTCAGGACAGGCGAGTCCTTCCTTCCCAAAAGGTGATTTGAGAGAGACAAACACGGAAGATAGTGCCATATTGCTAGACAAACAGCACCCAGAAGGCTATAGATAACCATAAAAGCCACCTCAAAAAGGCATGGGTCCCTGTTTAAACCTGGAGGGGTCAGCAGGTATCAGACCTACCAGATTGCTGTAAGACACAGCTGGGCTATCTGGGATAAAACTCTCAAAGCAGAGGTGCTGTGGCAGAGCTATGAACCTGCCTGAAAGGCTTAGCACAGAACCCAGCCTCCTGCTGTGAAAAGTTTCAGGTTTTTAGGAAATTGCATTTCTCAGTTGGTCAAACGTGTTCACAGAAAGCCTCTGATCAGCTGCGGGAAACTGGAGATACTTGTTAAGAGAAAGTTTCAGTTAGTCAACACCAAACATAGGTATGAAAAAAAAAAAAAAAAAAAAGCAAGGTGAGGTCTTTTTAATCTCTCAATTATATTTTTTCTAAATTACATTTCTACTAAGGGGTGGGGAGAGCAAGATCTGTGAAGTTTCTTTGGTATGTACAAAACCCAGGAATGTGAGACTCCTTGATGATATTTAATATGAATGCAAATGGCATTCCTCTAGTCCGGGTAGTTTTTTTGATTTTTTTAATGTGTTTGGCCTCTGGGTCCTTTACTCTGGAACAACTCTAGTGCAGAGAATAATGGGTTTTACTCCAGCCCTTCTGAGCTCCAGGAGAAGATTATTTTCCTTTGCTGCAGCAGCCCTTGCCATGCCTGTGAGGAGCCCAGCTGATGTGCTGTGTGTGCATAATGGCACGCACCCAGCACCGGGTGCAGGATGTGGCTCTCAGGCATTCTTTCACTCAGCCTCTGTGCTGGCCCAGGGAGAGATTTTGCCTGGAACACCATTGATTTGGGTTCAAATTCTAGGTGTGACAGACATATTTTGATGCTTAGAAAGTCACTTATCATCCGTGTGCTTCACTTCTGAACTGGGGAGAGCCGTGTTTTCACTCATAAGAGTCAGGGTTATAACTCATTTGCTGGGATGTTCAGAGCACTGGATCAGTGCTTACAAGATGTAGTGCAGTCCCATCCATATCTACACAATGTCTAAGAGAATTTCTATGGGTAGACCTTGAGTTGGGTTTTAAAAGGAGGTGGACCACAGTGTGTCTGTGCAAGCTCCAAAGAGCAGGTCTCACACTTCAAGGTTTAAGTAGGTCATTCAGTCTGCTCAGGAGGAAGCCTTCCTCCTATTTTCTCATTGTCTGTCTCTGGCTGGTGTAAATGCATTACAGACTATTTATCCCTAAGAAAAAAAAAATAAAAAATGTCTGCAGAAGACAAGATTTAAACAGGTTGATTCTTATCAGAGGACTACAATTGAATTTTGAGGTGAAATTTAATAGCAGCTGCCTTAGCCCAATACATGGCTTGTAAAGTGAAAGTCAGACAGACAAAATATGTACCTGTTTCTCTATCTGTCTGTCTATCTGGTATTTATTTTACTTTATGGCCCAGACAAGAGAGGAAACCATAAATACACAGGTGTCTGTGAACTACCTTCCCAGGGAAAGCTGGTGTTATGGTAACTCTGGTACCTCGTTTATGTTAATCATCTTCTAACAAGTCCCTCAGTGTGATGCATGCATAGGTAAATTGTGCTGATTAGCCCTTCAAGAGGGGCTAATGAAAATCACATTAACACTGTTTAACAAAAAGATACATAAGGAAATCTTTTGGAAGTGAGCAAATATTTGTCATCAGCCACATGTTTCTGTGAACAAACCTTCTTAGAGTGCTTGCAGATGTCACTGTCTATAAAGAGCCATACATACAGGTGAGGAGTAAAATTTGCTGTTGTTAAAATTGATAATGTAAACATTTAGTTTTACAGCTGATGAACTTGCTCATACAGTATATTGCAGTAATTAGGATTAACTGGAAAAACTTAGATCATTTTCAAGACAACGAATAAATACTGGATGACTTAGTAGTCAACTAACTTCTAATTCAAAGTTATTCATCAGGTATTCCCATAATTGATATTGTAAATGTAATGCTTACACCTACTCAAAAGAAAAATGGTGGGATGAAGGGATTGAATGAATACAATTGTCCAGCATACATTTACATTGCTATCCACCATAATAGCACGTGCAAGATTAAGAGAGGTTTTGTAATCTGTTTGCATTCACTAGTATTGTGATAAGAGCAAGCTACATAACTTCTTTGAAAACCTGCGCAGTGCTTTTTCTTTTGGGATAACTGCAGGCTAATTCTGCAAAGATTTTTATCTTTCCATGGTGGAGGGCACTAAGGAGAGATACACTCACTGTACCTGGAGATTGCTCATTATGCTTGAAAGGGTACATCTTGCAGGCAGCTTGCCAACACGAAGAAATAATCTGAGTCAGAAATGTGTGGAGGCATCAGCCTAGAATGCTGTTAAAGCAACATTCAGAAAGAACTGGGTTTTATAATATAAACTTCTACAAGACATAAATTTCCAGATTTTAATTAAACAAAGTCTAGTTGATTATCAAGCAACTGTTTGTTGTTTCTTGAGAATACTATAGCCTTTAGGTGCAATAACTTCCTTTTTTTTTTCCTATAAGAAGGGGTGGATTTTAAAAATCAACTACAACATCTGTTAGCCTCCATAAAGGAAACTTCATTTTTAAGCTGTTCTTTTCCAAGGTCAGAAGAAAATCGCCTTCTCTCCACCTACAGTATTGCACTGCTGGCATGAAGCATCAGTGATGAGTAGCTTTTCTCATTTCCCTCAGATACATGAATCAGTTATTACCAAATGCAGCAGCCCTGATTGGAGGGTGGAGGGGTGGGATAGGAAACCTGTTTGATCCAGCATAGCAAATCCTCTGTTTAAGTTGGGAATTATCCAAATTCCCATCATCTCGCTCTCAATACCATCCGTATATACTCTCAGATGAAGGAAAATATACCACATCTTTACATGCATAGCTAACAAGAATCAGTTTCAATCACCAGAGAGCTAAAATTGCCAATGTAGATAGTCACTTCACATTGTAATTTGAATACTGGACTCAGAAAAGAGGATTCAAAACAGCAGCTTTTTATCTGCTATCTTGGGATGTTGTAGGAGGGCAGAAGAAACCAAACAGCTGGAGTATGTGGTTTTTCTCTGCACCAGAAAATCCTTTTATTGAAGAGGGAGGAAAAAAGTGGAATTTCAAAATCTGTGTATCTGATGAGGAAAAATATGTTTGTGCCTAATCTTAAAAGAAATTAAAAACAACCCACTGCTATGGTAAAGGATTTCTTCTGTACATCTGCCAAGGTCAGCAGATGCATAAATCCAAGGAGAGGACAGACCTTGAAAAGGAGCAGTTCTGCTGTTTCCCCACAGCAACTCTCTTAGGACTCAGAAGGGTGAGAGTTTTCTTGCCATTACAAAACTGTTAAATAAAACTGAAAATGTTTTTCATAAGATTTGGCAGTTCAAGGTCCCACCAACACAGAAAGGACCTGGCAGTACCTGAGAGATTGCTGTGGACAATGAGTCAGCATGTCCATGCTCATTTCCCAAGTTCCCGTGTCTCCTCACTTCAGAGATCCCACTGTGAGCTTTCCGTGTTGTGGTCTTTCTGCAGCTGGCCTTGTTGTCAGGCTTTCTGAATTCAGGTCAGCCTGTTCTCTGTTTTTCTCCATTTCTGCTTTAGAGAGCAGAGCTGTTGAGCAATTCAGAGTGCATGCATGGGTTAAGTGCTTCAAAAGTAGTCCTGTCTCCAGCCAGCACCCTTTACCTGAGGTAACCCATAGTATTTCAGAAGTTTTACTGGGACAGATGAGCATCAGGGATCAGGGTATCAAAACAGTAAAGTTTATTAAAAAAAAAAAAAAAAAGTTCTGCTTCAATGCACACAGATCATCTCCTATGGACAACTGCCTGAGTGCCTGCCAGCACATCTGCCTGTCTGCTACAGGCCCCAAACCCCATCTCCAATTTCTCATTGGAGATGGGAGCTGTAGTTTCACATCATAGTGTCCTAGGTCTGCAGTGGGGACCCTGGGTACCCTGAGTGCTTCAGCTCCATATCCATGGGACACTCAGAAGTCCTGGTCCTGCTCCACTGGTGGGGCTCTCACGCTTTCCGAGTTGGTTGTTTGTGGACAAATTGGAGGCAATCCAGTGGAAAGCTATCAGGAGAGGCTTAGAGGAAGCATCTTGTGAAGAAAGATTGGGCTTTGGTCTGAAGAAGAGGATGCTGGGCAACACTGAGGAATAACTTAATGCAGTGTTGGTGATAATCCTACTTTTAGTGGGAGGTTGAACTAGAGACCTTCGAAGGTGTTTTCTAACCAACAGTTCTGTGATTCTGGAGTGATCTGAAAGCTTCTAAGAGTCCCGCTCTACAAATAAGCAGGATCACAGACATAAACAGCTTATTTACCTTCCAGAAAAATATAAAAAACCCTTGGTTCTCTTCACATGACAGCTGTATTTTTTCCCCTTCCTACTGACTTTCCTCTCTGTGAAAACATCTGAGAGGCCTGAGCTTTGTTCTAGCTTTTGGCCAGTAAACCACTGCAAAAGCTAGGCAGGCAGTAAAGACACACAGGCAGAGAGCACAAGCAATGCAACTGCTAGTACAAGCCTTGCTATTGTGGCAGAGGAAGGGTTTCACCACTTGAGCAGATGGGCCAGCATTTCCAGGTATCTCCACTTCCAGTCACTGCAGCTGCTGCCCTCCTGGCATGGTGGGATGGTTCTTACCTTCAGTGTGCATCTTTCTAGGAGAGAAGTTGGAACCCCAATCTTGGTCTCTCCCCTTTTCTTGCTGCACAATCACATAGGGTTATCCTCAAGAATCAAGAGTTTAAAGAGTTTTTACAGTAATCTCTGCAAAGTTGCCAGAAAACCTTGCTGCTGCCTGCACTTTACTTCAAACAAATTAAAGGCTTGCCTTTGATTTTTATTTTTTTTTAACCACTCAGCAGCAGCAGCAGCACAGTATGAGCATGTAAAACAGCTCCACTGAGCACAGCAGCTGAGTCACTGCTTTTTACCACAAACCCCTTGCAGCAGAAGCAGGAGAAATCAATAATACTGTGCAGCTTAGTAAAAGTGCTGAAGCTGTTCAGGGTTCTTATATAGAAACGCACCAAGCGTTCATAGTGGGAAAAGCAGCTCACCTCATTAACGCTTCAAAAAAGCCTTTAAGCTTAATCTGCCAGACACACCGAGGTGCAGCCTCAGCGGTGAGGGAAAAGGACAGGTGAAGATGTACAAGAAGCCAGCAGATGCTGCGATGCCTCAAGAGGAGAGAAAGATCAGCTTTTGGTATTATCACCAAGTACTGGAAAGCTGTTTGTTGCAGTCTGTGTTGCATCTTGATTCTGAACACACAGCCTGCATAAGCACACAGATCCTGCACAGAGGTAAAAGAGGAGCTCTTCTTATATCGTAATGAGTACCACTGGGTAGCTGAATACCCTTCCCCCTTGCAAGTCATGCCACAAAGATTGCTATTTATGGGAGATTGTACTTCACTATCCTCTACAGAAGAGATAACAGGGAGCCAAATCCCATGTGAATCGGGGAGCTTATGATACTCTCTGCATGTATGCAGAGACAACTGTCTTTTGCAGACCACTCTCAGCCTATGGCATTGCCAGTGGCTAGAGTCAAGACTTGGGATAACAGCCTGTCCCAGTCCTTCTACACACACACACACACACACACACACACATTCATGTGTGCATGTAAATACTGGCCAGGCATGCTGGTCCTCCTTTAACAACCCTACAAATTTTTTTGGTGATTTACAGTGATTTACTGTCTTACCAGCTTTGATATTCAGAAGGCCCACTGAGCTTTTCACCATGGTAAATGTGTATTAAAACATAACACAAGCCACCCACCAGATATTTCTTTCTTCCAGTGGCAATCTTGTATGAAAATGACCCTGTCTCTCGTACACAATACCTCTCTTTTCCATCTTGCTTCTCAGCACCCACTCATCTTCTCACTTTTTCCCTCTTCTTTTCAATTCCAATTCGTGAGCCAACTGAGGCTCCATCCAGGAGTGTAAGACTTTCCACACCCAGTAAGCAGATGTTCTTCATTTGACATCACATCCAAGAACACATTCATCTCTTATCTGCTAGCATCTTGTGATTACAGTCACAAGATTCTTCTAATTATTACAATATCTTCTTTATTCAGCTATGCGGCTGGTCCACGGGAGCTTGATTGTACTCCACAACACATTTGATCTCTCTGATGCTTTAAAATCTTCAATTGCTGCAGAAAGATTGATGAACTCCCCTTTGAAAACTTGTAGCACTGCAGAAAGAAATTGCATGATATTGCAGAAATACAAGATATGCATTTTTGAAAGAAGTGTAACAGGTTATAGCTGTCCCCAGGTTGAGCTGAAACACTGGGCATCCTCCCAAGAGGTCACTGGAACAGCATCATGGCATACTAAGGCCACTGACCTGCCTTTCTTTACTTTACTTTTCAGTTCTCAGTTTAGCTGCCAAGATCTGAGGAATATATGCAACACATCCCATGTGCATGTGCAGGCCACAGTAGTGTTTCTCTTACTAAGGTTGTGCTGACCTTTTGCATTCGACATTTTTGGTTTGAAAGAAAATCATGCTATTTGCTTTATATGACAAGTAAACATCCTAAAACAATTCAACTTCCCTACCAATTCAGGATGTCATTTCAGTGGTCCCCAACATGTATTGCTTCTCAGCTGTTGAGAATGAAGCTGTAAATGGTAAAGGATCGCCTGGTGGAATAATAAGGGGTCAAGTAAAGCAGAACCCCCTCAGGTATCTGAATCT